ACAGGAAGAGACAGTCATTCCATGCTTTGTAATTTATTTAATTGCCTATAAGTAATAATTGGAAAAGAGAGTTTAAAAGCAAGCATTATTTTCAAAATGATGAGCAATATTTGTTCTGAAATGTCAAGTTCCTTGGTAAAATATCAACATGCCAAAAATGAAGACTTCTTTTCCCCCTTCATTAGAAAGCAAAATTATATTTATAACCGCTCGAAGTCCAAGAGAATGAATTTAGATTTCTACTAAATGTTCTTACTTAACATTTTTCTAGCTTTAGCAATAAGTACTTTTCACATTTAAAAACAAAATTGATGAGAGCATAAGACAAGTTTATGGAAAACTCAATCATCTTCATTTTACACTTTAATAAATTCAGGTTAAATCAACATCAAATTACCTAGAATTAAGGTTAGGGATCAAGTTTTCTAACTCTGGCCTAAGTTTCTCCCCCTGCTACACATAGTGATCTTCCACAAAGTACATACACTTTCTTAAGTCTTTCTAAGACTGAAAGCTTTACTTCTGAACATTATAATATAGCATTTCATAAACAGATTGGAACATAGCATAAGAAGCAAAGTAAAACACATTTTAGGAAAACGTGACATTTAAAATAATGATAAATGTATCTAAGCAGTGGATTAAAATATGTAAAGAATGAAATGCAAAAATAAAATTTTGGTCTGTCACAAAATACATGCTCATTTGTATATTAGAGAAAGATTCTCCACACAATTTCACTTTAAACTGATCCTCTCTCATTTTTAAATGAATAAACTATACTCTAAAGTAATTATCATATATTAATTTTCAGTAACTTACTAACATGGACTGGGTGCATATTACTCCTTTATACATTAGAAAATAATTGCCAAAAGATATTTTGCTATATATTTTATATCAGATTTAAAAAAAAACAAATCTTACGTATAAATATATCTTCAACCAAAATTTTCTAAATGCATTTAAAATTGTGTAAACAAGGTAAGACTAAAACAACGAAATTAATTTGCTCTGTAATAGCCTATATTACAACATTCAGCTGTATAAGTCAGTAGAGTAGGTATTGAGAAATGCAAGCGACTGCATACATGCCTGTTGCTTTACATTTGACCAGCTATATGTCAGAGACAGTGTTACAGCTGATTTCATTATCTTGTCTGGTGACCACAACACAGTCATGGAGACCATAGGACGGGTTTCTTTCCTCCTGTAAATCACCAATTCGAACTACTTTTGTGTGCGGCTCATTCATAGCAAGTCTGTTGCTGAAACTTCAAATGCCTCCAGCGAGGTCTGTAAAGGGTTGTCTGCACCGAACCCATGCTAGTAGTCAAGTGCAGCTCCGATGATAAGCTGCCTGCCTGCACTACAACAGCAAGTTATATCATAAAAGAGAACAAGGGCATAGTGATCGAATGATGATATTTATACGCCTGATATTTTTTTTAAAAAAAATGTAAACCTCTATCCTTTTCTCCTTTAGATTGTGCCACTGTCCAGTTGCTGCCAGGTATTGAGGGAGAGGGGTAACATATGGAAAATTCAGGGGCAGATTAGTCTTGAGGTGGGGAAATAGCTTTAGCATATAAAAGGAAGATGCTTAGGGGAGCCACTGCCCCAGCGCTGCCCAACCACCATTAAGAGAAAAAAAAAATGACAAATGATGCCATGACTTTCAGGTGAGGACACATATACTTTCGCTCTTAAAAACAGACTAAAGGTGTCCCTACAGCGGAGAGGCTGGCTGCGAGAACGCGGGCGTCTAGGTGCTCCAAGACTTGGGGATCTTTTGGCTCACAGAAGCTCTAAGTCTCCAGTTGCACCCAAACCACAACCTCGCTGCTCTTCATCCACTTGCTGCGACGGTGGGAAGTCAAGTATGACCATAAGAGAATCTAAATACCATTCTCTCTTTCCTTGCACTGGTCCCCGCTCGGATTCTTCTCCATCCCATTCGCTTGGCTTCGCACAGACCCCTGGCGGTGGGCTCGCCCTCTCGTCCACACCTAGGCAATGGGCTCTCCTAGCCTGGCCCTGCCCCTTCCCCCGGCCCCGAGGCGAGCTCGGCCACTCCAGCGCGAGCCCCGGAAGGTGAGTGTGTGCCCGGTTTAAAGACATCCAGGACCCCAGACACCTAGTGGCGCCAGAAAAGCGGCTCCCAGGCTCCAGGCGCCTCCTGAAATGCGCGCGCGCCCGGCGGGAGCAAACCGGGTTCCAGCTTCACCGCAGCTCCCCGCGCGGGAAAAGGAGGGCGCGCTGTGTGCACGGTCTCTCCTCCCAGCCATTCGTAGTGAATTTCCGACACTCGCGCCAGCTAAGACACGGGATGTGCACCGCAGCCTCTCAGCTACCGGAGCTACTGGCGGCCTCTCCGAGAATTTCTCCCCTGAGTGCGAGGGAAGGAGCCCCTTACGCTCCTCGCCTGCGAGGCCGACCAGGCTGGGGAGGACCGGCCGGCTGGGGGCTCCCCGGGGCGCCCGCCGTGGCATCCCCTCGGGAGGGTTAACTGCCCTCCACTCGCACAGACGGGCGGAGCGGAGGCTTCCTCTGGCCGGCCCGGGAACCTGGATGCCGCGCCCGCAGGATGTTCGCGGCCGGGGCCGGGCGCCGGGAAACATGAGAAGGCCCCGGCATCCCTGTCCCCGGGCCGCGCGCGCCTGTCCGGGTAAATAAAGCGGGACGGCGGCGGTGGCGGCGGTGAGCGCCTGGGATCCTGCGCGGAAAGCATGCGGCGGGGATGGGAGTGCGCCTAGCCTCGACGCGGGAGAGCCAGCAGCCCCGCGGCCGGCCCCCTCTCCCAGGTACAGCTTCTGGGTCCCCGAGTCCCTGCCCGAGGCCTCGGGATGCAAGGTTCGCTCCGGCCCCGGCCCCTGGGCGCTCCCCGCCCTTCCCCCTGCCTCTCTCCTCCGTCCTCAGGGGACGCGCCCGGGAGCCCCCAAGGCTGGCGGGAGGGTCTCCTGGGAGACTGGGCACCCAACTGGCCGCTCCTCCTTCGCTTTAAATTTGCCGGCGGGCGTTGGGCGGGGCAGTTCCTCACAGAGGGAGCTACGCACGGGGCAATTTGGAGTGAATCAGGGTAAGTGTAAGCGCGGGAGCCCAGAGGGCGTGTGGGGGACGGGCGTGGCTCCCCGGGAGGACGAGAAGCTACGGTTCCCACGTCCCTGGGACTCCTGGCCCCACCACCCAGCTCTGGACTTCTCCCGCTGCTCCCACCCGCCTGCCGCCAGGGTACCCACACCCTGGGCGGCCGGAGACGGCCTGAGAGGCCCCCGTTGTGCCAAACCTCGGGCGGGTGCGCTGGGCAAAACACGCCTACAAACAGGAGAACAGGGCTGGGGTTGGGGAGACCCCGGCTGGGAAAGGGTGTATTTTACAAACGGAGCGGCGTAAACGCAAAGTATTGAGCGCGCGGATTTAAGTCCTGACCTTAGAACCCGAGCTGGGAGCTCGGAGATTTGTTTGCACACTTACCGCCTGGTGTCCGAACCCCAAACACCTACCTACCTGTCTGCGCCCGAGGGCGGGTCTTTAGGGACGCGGGATGCCCACGGAGGTCTGACTTCACCTCCCACGGCGGGAGCCTTCGCGCAATCGCCGGGGTCACGGTCCCACAGGTCGCGTGTTGCCGCTTCTGCGGAGAGTGTGGACATTCGGCGAGGCAGAGGACCGGTGCATGGCCGTGTGTGTGTGTGTGTGTGTGTGTGTGTGTGTGTGTGTGTGTTGGGGGTTCGGGGTGGGGGCTGGCAGCCCACGCCGCGGCGGGGCGGGGAGAGGGGCGCTGGCGGCAAAGGGAAGGAGAGCTGTTCGCTGTTCGGTGGCGCGGGGCGGGGAGGCGGGGAGGCGGGACAGGCTGGGGCGCCGGGTCGGGGCCGGTCACTGGGCCGATCCACGGCGGCGCGGACTTGCCCCTGAGACGGCTGGCCGCAGGCAGAGGCTTCCGGCCGCCGGGACCGGGAGGTGAGCTGGAGATTTTCTCCGACCGTGCAAGGGCTGCGAGTCCTCCTTCCGCTCCAAACACCTTGCAGCCTCTGAAAGGGTTCCTGAAAAACCCCAGAGAGGGGCGGCGTGGAAGGGCTCAGAGCCCAGGGATCTCACGGCACCGTGGAAGGGGACCTCACTGACCGTGGGCCCGGGGCTGGGGGGAGGGGGGGAGGTGGGACTCCCGGAGTCAAAGGCCTCCTGCGCCTTTGGACGGTCTCCACCCTGCACACCCTGGAGCGGGTTGGGATGAAAGAAAGATTGAGGGGAAGAGGGCGTCATGTGGTGCGTTCGTCCAGGACACCACTTAACTTTCTAGCTCTGAGTCTGCTCACTTTCCCAGCCCTCACCCCCACCCCAGGGACGAACGGACGCAGAAGGTTCAGCCAAACCATCCAAGACCTAGAGAACAGGAATATTCCCCAAATCCCGGCACGGCCTAAGACCCATTAACTGGGGCTTGCGCAGGCAGCCGTTCATGTTACACCCAATTTCCCTTCCTCCCAAGCCCTCTCTCCGGCCCGAGTGGAGCCTCCGGGAGGCTTTCTCTTCCGCGGTGACAGGACCACGCGCGGCCCCGCGCCGCTGCGCTCGGCTCTCCTGCGCCTGCTTCTTCCCCTCCAAACCGAGCCAGAGCGGATCCTCTGGGAGTCACCTTTCCTTTGCCGCCGCGGGCACCCTATTCCTGGTAGAAGCGCGTTGAGAGATCCATCGCCCGGGAAACGATGAGGGCAGGGACTTGTCCCCAGAATGCGGGGGCGGGGGGGGGGGGAGGACGGGGAGGGAGAAGGGGACGGGTTAACCAGGTGCCGAGAGGTGCGGGTTCCCTAGTTCGGACGAGGCTGTGTAGCTCCTGCCCCGAACCCCGCAGCCGCTCGCCTGGGCTGCATCTGGGGCTCGGGTCGCTCAGGGTGCGAGCGCTCTCAGAGAGTAACCTGCTGCCCCTTCATCTCCTAGAACCCGAGCCCTGAGGAGCTCCCGGGGGCCCGGCCCCTAGGCTCTGTGGCCGCGTGGGCACCATGAACACCATCGTCTTCGAGAAGCTCAACGGCGCCGTGCTCTTCGAGGACCGCGGCGCCCCGGAGCGGGAGCGGGGCGGGCGGCCCTACGGCGGCGTCCTGGACGGTCCCCACGCCCGCCCGGACGTGGGCATCCCGGACTGCCCGCCCCTCAAAGACAACCTCAGCCTGAGACACCGGAGGACCGGGTAAGCGCATCCTCCCTGGGCCCTGGCCCGCCAGCACCCCGAGGGGTGGGGACAGGGAGCGGCGGAGGCTGGCCAGTGGCTACAACCAGAGCGTGAGGGTTAGCGGCTTGGAGTATCCCTGGAGGGCAGGTCCCCGCCTCCTGGTTTTGCGCATTCTCATTCTAAGGTAGTAGTTTCTGAAAATATCGGGAGATCGAATAGTCAAGACAGCTCAAAAGAGGCATGTTGGAAACTGAGGACACCTGGAGCTGGCCCCGCAATCCTCCCATACTTGGTTACCCCAGTCCCTCTCCGAACCTCGGGTGCAGACGCGCCACTGAGAGCCAAATATATGGGACTGAGCAGGACGAGTAGGAACAGGGAGGGCCACGCTGTTGGGGCTCCAGGTCAGGCCAGCCCCGTGGGCTGCCTCCGTTCTGTCAGACAAGGCTTCGCCACGGCCTCGCGGCTCACGGAGCCTCTGCCGGGGAATTGGGAAAGTCGGCTTTGCCCTGGGCGCCCTAATCGCACGCGGCCGGGCCCGCTGCCAGCCGGAGGGGAAGGCCGGGAGCTTGTGTAGCCTGCCGGGTTTCGGTTAAGCAGGGTGAGGGGGTGACCACAGCAGCTCAGGCTGCAGACCTGTGGCCAGCCGCCCCTGGCCCGACCACCTCCGAGAGGCTACAGGGGCGCGGGGTGAGGGAGAGGGAGAGGGGGCTGCCCTTCCCGGCCGCCTCCACCTGGAAGATTGCATCAGCTGCTCGTTCTGCGGCGCTGCTGGCTAGTTAAACAGAGATTAGGTTTCCTCAGTCCTTTGGGGTGGAATTGCATTTCAAAGCGTTTGAAGTGGCAGAAGCCCCGGAGACTGCGGCGCTAGCGCGGGAGCCTCCTGGAGTCGCCGGGCTCGGGCCTCGGCGCGGCGACACCTCCCGGAGCCTCCGGGGAAAGCAACGCCCAGGGCTGGCTCCAGGCCGCCAGTCTTTCTCCCAGGAATATGCTTTACAAGAGGCTGTTGTTGTTGTTGTTGTTGTTGTTGTTTTCTTGGTGGAGCAGAGCTTTCCAAAGTTTTTAACTCTCCCTATATCGGGAAAAGACCCCTAGAGTGTTCTCCTCGTACCCTTCCTTGGGAAAGTTTCTTCTTTCCCCAAGAGGTTCAAAAGAAACTGGAGAGAGTTCCAAGGGAACCAGGACAGCAGGAAGGCGGTCATCCCTTGCTCTATTCCCGCAGTCCCTCTCCGAACCTTTCTTTTGGGCTCCCTTTCCTTTGACTACAGGCGACTGAACGGCAGGCTTGTGTGAGCGTTAAGAGCCTGCAGCTCCCTCTCCAAAGCCCACCAGCCAGACCGCTAGAGGAGGGCGCAGTGCAGGCAGGCTCCGGCAGGGTGACACAGCCTTGCCGCACTGATCTGTTACTTGAATAACATTTTTCTTCAAGTCACTTAACCATCGTCACTTAAACCTCTAACTTGGGTTACTGGCTTCCAGATTCCCCCATTTTTAAGATAAACTAGGGTCCTTCACTGCCACATGACCCCTGTGCGCAAACAGGCTACTTCAAAGAGACATACAAGGAATTACATACAAAGAGACACACCTAGGAATTGTGTGGCCTCCTCGCTCAACCTCAGGAGCGCAGGGCGGGTTACCAAGGCTGACCTGGTGCCTGGGGATGCCCTGCTGGGGGAGGGAGATCTGGGAGGACAACCAGAAACCGCTGAAATGATCCAGAGCGCCGCTCACTAGGGCCTTCTCCTCTCCCGGTGTCCCAGGGCCCGGCAGAACAGCGGGAAGGTGAGGCACAAGCGACAGGCTCTGCAAGACATGGCACGGCCCCTCAAGCAGTGGCTTTACAAGCACCGTGACAACCCGTACCCCACCAAGACCGAGAAGATACTCTTGGCGCTGGGCTCGCAGATGACCCTAGTGCAGGTAACCCGGGCCCACCTGGTCCTTCTGGCGGTGGGGCTAAAGGGGGAGGAGTGGGCACGTCCTAGTTTGTGGGGCTCTTCACCTGGCGTTTGCCCCAAGAAGGACAGAGCAGAGAAAGGCCAGTGAGTTACTTTGCTGCTGAGGATGATGATGGGGTTGGGTCTCCTCTCAATACTATCAGTTAGTTCCGTGTTAATGCTGGTTCCAGGCAGGATCGCATGGTGTTCTGTTAGGGAGGACAGTGAAAAGTCAACTGAAAAGTTACAAGAAGTTGTCTGGAAGGAATCTGGACTATGGACCTTATATAGATGGGTACAAGTGGACTACTCGCAGTGATTTTCGGACTGGAACCCATCCGAGCCACCTGGAGGACGTGTGAACACTCAAACCAGAGCTTTTCATTCAGCAGTAGGTCTGGGGTGGGCCCATGGTTTGCATCTCTAACGAGCTCTAGGGGTGATGCTGAAGGTGCTGGTGCTGGGCCACACTTTGAGAATCAAGTACAGGATAACTCACATTACTGACAGATCTAGGAGGTGGGTTGAAAGGTCAAAAATGGGGTTGGATTGCTTTTTTGTTTAAGTAGAAGCATTCTGGGCATTGACTAGAATCCACAAATTTCCCTGACGGCATCTTTCTACTGGGGTTAAGAAGAGGCAGATTTCAAATAGTTGGGATACTCATCAAGTATAGAAATGATACAAGTTTATTTACTATAGTGAACAACACTACTTTACATTTGATTTGCTTATTTTCCTACAATTCTTATTTGATATTCATAAAAACACGGTGAGATACGGAAGTTATTGTCAGCATTTTACAGATGATGTAACCAAGGCACGTGGAGGTTATGTGTTAATAAGGATAGATTTAGGCCTGGAAACAATGCAATTCCAGGTCAAATGCTCTTTCCATCACACCAGTTTTCTTTCATGAATATGGTATAGGAACTTTTATAAATGCAAACAGAACATAAGTATTCAAAGAATAGGAGATGCTAGATGAGCTGAGAAGTTTCATACATTGTAGTAGCACTACTTCACTGCTATGAAATTTGGTTATTCCATTAGCAATGTGTAAAGGGAGAATCCCCAAAATAAAAATAAAAATAAAACAAGCAATATTTAACTACTAAATAAAAATAGAAATTGTTTTCCAGAGTAACTAAGATCATAATTTAGGAATTACTGGAAAATTTGACAAAGCATGAAAATTGACTTGTATTCAAGCATATTAAAACTATAATATGCATTTGTCTGGTTATTTTCAGAATACTATTATAGAAGAAAACATCTGTTTTGTTTCATATTGACAAGCAATAGTAATAATAGTGATTTGCTGCAGCACTGGAGGGGAAAATTAATTTAGCGTTCTTAGCTTAATATCTGTTTAACATAAAGCTATGCAACTTTCAGTGATTTATAAAAGTAGTTTCTAAATAAATTATTCCTCTCAGAAAAACTTGACTTTTGAAAATAAGTGCTTATGGTCAAATTTCAGTTTAAGCAGGTATGCTATTTATTTTGAAAATGCATTAATTTATAAAGGTATTTGAATATTTCACAATAGTGTTAGCAAGAAAATACTAGGTTATTTTGATTGATTATATAGCTCCACATTTAATACTTGCCATTCTTTTATTTAAAAGCAATACCTCCTTATGACATATTTAGAACATTTTTAAAAATACATTTTATTGATTTTTTTACAGAGAGGAAGGGAGAGAAATAGAGAGTTTAGAAACATCCATGAGAGAGAAACATTGATCAGCTGCCTCTTACACACCTCCCACTGGGGATGTGTCTGCAACCAAGGTACATGCCCTTAATCAGAATTGAACCTGGGACCCTTCAATCCCAGGCTGACGCTCTATCCACTTAGCCAAACCAGTTAGGGCTAGAACATTTTTTAATTAAAAAAGTAACCTTTGCCATTAGCATATATTTACATTTTCATGTGCAATAGTTTAGTAAGATGCAATATAAGTAGTTTTCACTTTAATACAGAATCAAATAATTTTCTACCTCTAATGATAATGCAAATACAAGTAACAATTCTTTTTGCCATAAGGTCTTGATAAGGCTATTATATTTTTCTAATTTACATGGAGTTTTCATTCATGTAATGAAAACTTCTCTTACTATAGTTTCTCTTACTATAGTTTCTTTTTCTTACACTAGTCTTCAGAAAATCAAAATGCACAAAATTATGTAATGTTAAATGGGAAAAACATTTATAGCAATAAGTGATATTTGTTTAACAATTTTTAATTTTATAGTATGTGAAGTTGGTTTCTGGAACTTGAAAATAAAAAATAAATTAAAAAAAACTATACTGTAATCAAGGGACCTTATATATAATTCAATTTTATTTCAGTTACTTTCAATTAGACATAAGGGATATCTATGTAAGAAAAAATATATATGAATATACACATGTCTACTACCTACCTATATGTGTATGTATGTGTGTGTGTGTATATATATATATATATATATATATATATATGAGAGGTTTGTAAAAGTCAAGCATATATTAACAGCTAAATAAAATTCTAACACTATGGGAAGTCAAATAAATTAGACATAAGGGATATCTATGTAAGAAAAAATATATATGAATATACACATGTCTACTACCTACCTATATGTGTATGTATGTATATATATATATATATATATATATATATATATATATATATGAGAGGTTTGTAAAAGTCAAGCATATATTAACAGCTAAATAAAATTCTAACACTATGGGAAGTCAAATAAATTATGTAAATACTTTACACTTCTGGATGAAAAAATACAAAGCTAAATAAAGCTTTTGATCTCTGCAAATTAGGCCCCGATTTAATGAGTCAGGTTCTTCCACTGAATAAATTTCAGGCTTCTTATTGTCTTATTCATTTTCATACCCCGTACCACCTCAGCACTGTACTTTCCATATAGTAAACTAGCCCTACATTTTTAAAGAGTTAATAGATTATAATAGGGGAATACCACTATAATCACCATTTGAATTTCCAAAACATATTTTTGAAAGCTAAAGAATGTCTTGAAATTTGATTAAAATAGTTTTAAAATTAATTCAATTGTAGGGAATACACAGAGGGCAGCTCTCTACCTTTAATGCTATATGATGGTTCAAAGTAAGTCTGTAATCAATTTTTTTATTTTCAATATATCTGGAAATGTGTCCTATTTCTATGTCTATAGATAAATATGGAACATTCTTCTTATTTCTAGTTTTCAAACTCCTATTTCTTGTTTATTGCAACACCTATCTCTGTTTTTTATTATTAATATTAATAAGCTGTTAGCATAACTTTTATTCCTTACAACAAGAATATCTTATATTTTGATCATTTCTTTTACACTTAATATTTTCCTTTTAGTTGTGTGTCAAAACTTTTTATAAGAAATATTTTTTACTTATTTTGCTACTCTTAAATTAATAAAGAGGGGTATAAAACCTGGTCAGCAATCTCCATTAAGCCCAGAAACAAAAAATTGAAAGTGTAGTGGAGAGAATATCTTTAGGATTACAAAAGATACTTTTTCCGATAAATAGAATCTCTGATGACATTAATAGGTACCTATTTTATTTACCCCTGAAAAAAATGAATCAGAAAGAATTATTTACAAAACTTTCACTACTAGCCTTGGCAACTTGTTTGAATGTGCTATAACTATGTTTTACTCTCATTTGCATTATTAATCTGGCATCTTACTTCCTAATGAGATATAAGCATTTTTATAAAATTAACAGGGACGTTATGTATGTTTTTATTCTAATCAACCAAATTTTCCATTATACAGTTTCTATGGCTGACAGTTATTGAAATATAAAAAATATACTCTGGACTCTCAAAATATGAACCGCTATATTGTAGAATAATATAAACTGGTATACAATTAAGGTTTTGTATTATTGTAAGTGGATATTGCCAAAGAATAATTGCTTTTAGAGAGTTTTTAAAAAGGCAGATGGAGGCTGTATCTGGTTTTAACATTTTCCATAGTTTATGTGTGTGTATTTTAAAATATATATATTTTTTCTGGATTATAGAAGTGAAATGTCTGCTTGGGATGGCTTCTTTCATGATCATAATACAGACTGCAGGGCAAGAGGCATTTGAGGTTGCAGTTTAACAAATGGATGTTAATGTTTCCTCGTCTTATAGTAGAACGTTCAAATTTCTAGGGTGATACCCATACACCATGTGGTTAAAACTTCAATGTTGCAAAATTTTACCTCCTATATTGACATAGCTCTACTTTTGCTTGGTATGAGTGCCTCTGCTGAGATATGTTGTTCTTAACTGCAAGGATTATAGAAACTGCTAAATAGTCAACTAAGTCTCAGAAAGTCCTTCTACATTATTCCAAGTGTTATACAATGTGGTGTGGAAATGAGGTGCTCAAATTTCAGTTGGATAACCCAGAATAAGTTTATTAATTCTTTATGTTCACAGGTGGGCAGATGCCAGCATATCCCTTTGGGCTAACTGTAATGCTTGCTCAGTCAATATGATGAACATAAACACCTCAGTTATAGTGGGATGAAAATTACTTCATTTTATCTTCCAGCATCTAGATATTTGGTTCTCTAAGCATTTACTGTAAAAGAGTGTTTTTAAAGCTTTTAATTTGACATTAAAATACCATTCCTCCATAACTTACATGTAAGGAGGCTGTCTCATGTAAAAGAGAATTTAAAGAGAATTTGAATAATAACCTCAATGAACCCATAGTAAGTGAAAGGGAGAAAACTTGAACTATTTTTACCTTCAGTGAAACAGATAGGATTTGCAGTTATATAGCAGAAAAAAATTGCAAAATAATATTTATGCAGATTTGTTAACCATCTATTTGTTTACTGTTGCACAACTTAATGTAAGTAGATATTAAAGCCTCACTGTATCCAGTCCTTTGGCTCTACTATAAATTTTTTGTAATAAAGTGCTGGCAGAGTAAATATATTAGCAGATTGAGTGTTCATCAAACTTATAAAATAAAATTTAAAAACAACCTATATTATATATCAGCAAATCTTTCTAGAAAATCCTAATATATAATTAATATACTATGGGTATACAAAACATAAAAAAGGATATGACCCCTATATATGAAAAGCTGGTTAATTCCACCATGACAATGAAAGGTCCTCATTTTTTTATTTTAAAATTATAGTATATTATTTTTTAATTAAGCCATTGCATTTTAATAAAAATATGAGTAATTTCATAAGAACTGGATTTTACACTGTACTGTGCGGTGGTCGTGTCACAATTAAGGTTAGTTAAGAATGAAGGTTTGTCTGAATTATATGATATTTAGAAAAGAAAACACCAGAAAGTTTGGACTTGGATTCTAATAGATATGTGACTTAGGCCTAGGGGGAGATGCATTGTGTCCTCAGTGTATGAGAGGGGCAGAGAAGGACATAAACATACAGATCTGATTGCTAGGGAGAGTAGCAGTCAAGAGCAGAGGGTAGATTAGTATCAACTATGAAGGGAATTAATACTGCTGTAAAACAGGGTGGGCTATATTCCCTGATCTTAGTTCTGAGAGTTGACAAAGATGTTCAGAATCATCTAATGCATTTTATAGATGAAGAGTTTGAAGTTCAGAAAAGTAGGTGACTTATCTCAATGCACACAGCATGTTATGGCAAATACAGGACAAGATACTAGGTCTTTTTCCATTATACCACAATGACAGGATAGTGGGACATTCATGAACATTTGAAGAAGTTAATTAAATCATAATGGTGGATCAACATGAATTTGAGGGTGGTTGTTAAGATCCATTCAATTGGACAGAATGGAAGTTCCAGAAAAGAATGTTCTAAAATTCCTACTCAGTAGTGAGGAGGACCTGGACAAACACGTTGGCTATGACTTGGACAATAGAAAGAGGTTTGCGAAATGTAGTGTAGAAATGGACCAGGCATTTTGTGCTTCTGTAGCAATAACCTGTGTATCACAGTTAATCATGGATAGTTTTTCACTGCTGGTCCTTCTGTGTATGCCTGGGACATGATTTATTCATTCCTAGCACTTAATACCATGGGTAAAGCACAAGAGCATCTTGATATATGTTTACTGAATTAGTAGTCCCAGAAGTTGTCTGTCTATAGAAGTTGGGAAAGACTGAGAATGTGAAGTCAGATTGAATTGTAGTAATAATAGCATAGCTTGGGAGGAAGAAGGATTGATGAAGACTGAGACATCTGAAATGCCATGGTGAGATGTTACCTTATTACATGTAAGTTTAAGACACAAAGGCAGTAATATTGAATTTATATAAAACATATGATATGTTTTGTGCAAATATTTATATAAATAAATGAGTGAAACTACCATGTTTTACCCATGAAGACAGAGAGAAAAAAATTGCAGCTTTGTGGGTTGGTTTGTTTTTTTAAAGTAAGAGTTACCACAGGTCTACTCTCAACAACTAGGGCTTGAACAATATGCAAAAATTGTGTTATTTATATTATAAATCTAAAATAGAAGAAAAAGAACTTCTAGTGCAATCATTGCCACACAAACCATTTTGGTAATGCGGGGCGAAGGTCTGGGACAAATTGACAGAAAAATGTATTTCTCTTTCCACATTTCATTTTTTAAGGGTAAATATCAGCCCCTCAGGTTTTTCATAAATGTATTCTGATGACAACCTGATGTTTTAAAAGAAACCTCAAGTACCATTGTAGCCTCTAGAAGTTCAGCAGCATCCTACAAAAAAACAATGGAAGTAACTGTACTTTGTTTTATAGTGGTTATTTTTTTTCCTTTGGGAGCACTTGACTTTTAGCTTATAAGCTATAGCTGGGTGTTATTTGGCCTTTTCTTCCTCCACTTGTCTTTATCTCTGACTGTTTTGCTAGTCCTACCAGAGACCCAGTGCACGAAATTTGTGCAAGAGTAGGCCTTTTCTTCCCCCTCCGCCATCCCCCGCTTCCCTCTGGCACTCAGGACCCAGGCTTCCCTAGCAGCCACAGCTTCATCCTGAAGGACATCTGGTATAATTAGCATATTATGTTTTTATTATTATTGACATCCTTAATCACTGGAGGTTTCCATTGATCCTTGCCCATCTTTTCATCCTGTCTACTCTCACAATTTCAGCTTTCACCTCTGCACATTTGATCCAAATCTGCTCTTTCTCTCCCTTAAGTGTCAGGTACTATTTTTATTTTCTTGCTGCACATCTCACCTATATACTCTTCTATATATGCCTTCAATAAACATGCCCCGAAAAAAAACATATCATTCCATCTTTAAACAGTTCTACTTTCATTCTCAAAATGGTACTATCCTCCTCTTGGTTACACAGATTTGATGATTTAAAGTCACCTTTAACTCTCCCTCTTGCTTACCACACTCTCTCTGCAATTTGACTTATCTTTGTTCCAGTGTCCTCTTTATTGGGAACACACTTCCCTACCCATTATACCTGACATTTTCCTTCACAGTCTACCTTAAATTTCTCAGGAAGTCTTGAGTCACATGTATGCCCCCTTTCCTTTGGAATCCTGTGTTGCTTTGTTTTTTATTTTCTTGTAATCCTCACCCCAGGATATTTTCTCTATTTTTAGAGAAAGTGCAGGGAGGGACTAACGGAGGGGGAAAAGAGGGAGATAGGGGGAGAGAGATTAATGTGAAAGAGACACATGGATTGGTTGCCTCCTGCACTTGCACCTACCAGGGCCAGGGATGGGACCTACAATCCAGTTATGTGTCCTTGACAAGGAATCAAACTGGAGACATTTTGGTGTAGCTGGCAATGCTCTACCCATTTAGCACACCAACAAGGGCCTGAATCATTTTATTTTAATGCATCTTAAGCTATTCTTCCCATCCTTTCTGATACTGTAATTAGACTTGTTTGTATACTTTTCTACCTCTCCTATTAGACTGAAAATTTGGTGGCAAGGCATCTTCATTTTTTAAATTCCCAGAATATAGTAAGTGCTCAATCTCTGCAGTTAGCACTTGGCATGTTTGTTGAATGAATGAATGAGTGAGTGGAAGGAGTGTCTAACACTGTTCTACCCTGAGGATATTTAGTGATCAGAGATACTGAGAGAGGCTTAGGTCCTTTATGGGAAAGTAATTGTATGATGGGTAATTTTTTGTTTTGTTAATTAAGAAATAATACTTTCTTAGGTGTCAAATTGGTTTGCTAATGCAAGACGTCGACTTAAGAATACTGTCCGACAGCCAGATTTAAGCTGGGCTTTAAGAATAAAGTTGTACAACAAGTATGTTCAAGGAAATGCTGAGCGGCTTAGTGTAAGCAGCGACGATTCGTGTTCTGAAGGTTTGTTCATATTTTTATTTTGCTTTATTGGCTTTGCCTTTATAATAAGTTTACCTCAATTGCTATTTTTAAGGTCAACCCTACAAAATATGGTGGTACCCTAATGGCTCCTGTTTCACTTTTATAATATTAGAAATGACAATGGCTGTTTCTTCTTGTTTATAACTCATTGTGTGTCAGAATAACATTTTCTGTGAAAATTATTAAAATTGAAATACCATAGGGAGAGATAACAAAGACTCCTCCTTTTCTTTGCCTAAAAATTAATCTTGAATATAAAAGATAATTGTATACACTTTAAATATTCTTTCTTTACATATATTTTTGATGATTAAACATAACAGTTGGGTGGCTGGGGAAAAGCACATGCAAGTCCTACGTAGTAATACAGTTTTTCCCTTTTAGATGGAGAAAACCCTCCCAGAAACCATATAAACGAAGGGGGCTATAATAATGCAGTTCACCATCCTGTGATTAAAAATGAGAGCTCGGTCATAAAGGCAGGGGTGAGGCCAGAGTCACGGATCAATGAGGACTACGTGTCACCCCCAAAATACAAGAGCAGCTTATTGAACCGTTATCTTAACGACTCGTTGAGGCATGTCATGGCCACAAACGCTGCCATGATGGGAAAAACAAGGCAAAGAAACCATTCAGGATCTTTTAGTTCCAATGAATTTGAGGAAGAATTAGTGTCTCCTTCATCATCGGAAACCGAAGGCAACTTTGTCTACCGCACGGGTAAGTCTGCTTTTTGTACCTTGTTTAAAACATTAGAACGGCAGCAGAGGCATTTATTTCAGCAGGTATAAAGCCATGGTTTTATTGCTTTTGCATTAGGTTATTCATAGATTATCTTTAATAAGGTTTTAATGCTTTTGTTTTTATTTTAATCACCAGAGATCCTCGTAGTAGATGATGGGAAATTTTCATTCTTAGTAACAATGATAAGAATTTTTGTTCTTGCCAAAACCGATTTGGCTCAGTGGTAGAGCATCAGTCTGCGGACTGAAGGGTCCTGGGTTCGATTCCAGTCAAGGGCATGTACGTTGGTTGCGGGCACATCCTCGGTAGGGGGTGTGCAAGAGGCAGCTGGTCGATGTTACTCTCTCATCGACATTTCTAGCTCTCTATCTCTATCCCTTCCTCTCTGTAAAAAATCAATAAAATATATTTTTTTAAAAGAATTTTTGTTCTTAATAATAATTTTTAACCATAATGATAAACATTCTTAGAGGAAATAAATTTTGGTTTTTATCAATAAATATTAATAGAAGAATGTTCTGGATTCCATAGTCAGACATGCTAATACTCTGTATTCCATGTTTTCTCTTAAATTCTTTGTTTGCTAGTAACAGTGGAAATAAACACAAATTATCATGGGTACCAAGACTTCTGTGATGGAGTAGTATCTGGCTTAAATTGCTTTGGAAATTTTATTTGTATTTCAGAAATAATGAATAGGTTCCTACTTGTTCAAACATTCAGATGGAGTAGTGAGTTTGGTGAAATTTTCTGTCTTGACTTTAGTTCCCTGAGAACTTTGATCACACAGTGTTTGAGCAAGTAGCTTCAGAACAAAGGATATGTGCCTCCTATATCTGGTGGAAATAGAGTTTGGGTCCTGAAGATAACTTCAGAAAGCATCTAGTCCAGCCACATTATGTCATTAATAAGAAAATCCAGCCCTAGAACACACGGCTAGCTTATTCTGCTCCAGATCTATAGTACGGGTGAGCCGGCACAGCAGGTAGGAGGGATGAAACTACCCGGTACTACTTAGACTACCATTACTGTTGCTATTACACATGCTAACGTAAGCACAACTCAGCTTTCCTGTTATGATTACACATACAGCCACAGTCATTTTACTGAGTAGTTCTGATATGCTAGGCTGTATGCTAAATGCTATCCAAATGTTACTACATTTAGTTCTTAGCATATCAAGGAGGCTGATATGTGACCCCCTAGGGCTTCATAGAGGAATTTAAATTTGGCTTGTTTAATATACCCTTCAAATTATCTAGTCAGAAATCTGATTTTCAAGTGTCTATAAATGTGTACATTAACTCTGAGGATTCAGAGAAAAATCTCAATATACTTTTAAAGACTTAATATCATTTTTGCTTGTATCTCCAATTCCAACAATAAAAATAACTCCAAACAGTCTTATAAATAATGATTGGGTGTAGGAAGAAGTAAAAAATGCAATAAAAGACTATTTATCTAATAACAAATAATTTAAAACTACACATTAACATCTAACTCATATGACTAGAGCAGAACTTGCAAGTAATTTAGAACTTTATAAATGTTAATTTACAGAGAAAGGAAAATAACTTATTCAAGTACAGATAATTGAAAAGAATTTTTAAAAAAGATAAAAAGGAAAGCTAAAAATAGATAAATGAATCAAGAGGTAGGTAACTCTTTGAAAGCAATAGTAAAAGAGATAAGCAAAAATTTGTACTGGGTAAAGTTGGAAATGAGAAAGGAGATACATATAGGTATTAAGCAATATTATTAAAATTATGATGAAATACTATGAATAATAGTTGACAAAATACTGTATGTGTGTATGTAGATGAATTGAGTTGCTATTATCCACATAAATTAAATTATAAACTCATAATGATAAAAGTTGTAAATTATCTCTAATTCAGGAAAAATTAAAGTTTTAGTAAATCTACCTTCCTAAACACATGATTTGATAGATTCATTGGATTTCTTTCAAACTTTGAAGAAATAATTAATTTCCATGCTTTACATATTTCCTCTGAAACATATAAAATTATGGGAAGTGTCTCAGTTTTTTAAAATGTGAATGTCATCCAAATCCCAAACTAGATTAAAATAACATAAAAATCAAAATTGTTATTTATGATACTGATATTGACTATGAAACAACATGAGAAATATTGATAATGTGATGTTATGTGAAAAACAATTTAAAATTGTGGAACACTGAATACAATTATAACAATACAAGTATGTATAAACAAAAAAGACTTTTGAAAATAATGAAAATTAATTTTGATTAGGTAATTGAAGGTCTACATTTTTTTTAATTCCTTATAAATTTCTTTCTGTTGCCCAGAAAAAAACAAGGTCATATTTTTATGAAATTTACCCAGTGTACTGAGTCTTTTGAAAATTCATGCTTTTTCAGAGGAAATAAAATAAAAAAATCAAAGCAGGAATAGCATGCCTGTATATTTGATGCTTTTCAAAGTTAAATATCTTGGACATTTATTTCTACTAAAACATTCCATTGGCCAAGTTCTATTTTTAAATAAAAACGTATTTTTTTAGTTTCTCAAGCAATGAAAAAGCAGCCTAGACACGTAAACTTCTGGGACTTTATAAATGGCTGTCGTCCCCTATGGGAACTGGGTGGCAGCAGAGCTGCAGCTGGGTCAGCACTCTTGCATACGGAGCAGAACAGGGGATTTTAATAAATACTTTCTGAGCAACTGCCGTGGTGTTCTCTGGCATACAGACTTACTCTGAATTCCTTTAATTCCTTCTGGTTGTATCTTTTTTTTTTTTCCCCTCACCTAAATGGAAATCTTCTAAGCCTGCTATTAACACCACTCCCCTTCCCAGTTCTATAGTAGTACAAATATTTCGAATTTTAAATTCATTTCAAGAATGGATCACCTTTAAATACAATTTATTAGTTTATCTGTGCTAAAAAAAAAAAAGTATCTATTTTTATCCATTTTTTTGTAAAAGAGTTGCTATTTCATGATGCATTTTAAAGGAATTTGTGTTTTGAAGGATAATGTATCACTGAATTTAATTTCACTGGTTTTTGTTAAGTATTAACAGGGAGAAACCTAGAAGGTTATAAAGTAGTAATTCTAATTGAAGATATTACTAGATACCATCAAAGTAGATACAAACATGTTTTCATTGAATTTATGTAGGCATTAAGTGTTTTTTCTGTAATCTGCAGTCTCCTACAACATGCAGAAAAAAAATGTTCTTTTTTTTTGAGGAGCATAATAAATATTGGTTATTTATATAACAGTAAATATTGGTTAAAACATTTCTGACAGCAGCAATTATAACACTAGAGGTGATCAGAATTATTAAGGTCATTGCTTTTAAATATAATTAAGTTATACTCAAGAAAATTTAGTCACTCAGTGCTATCTGTTGAATTAAGTCATCCGTATTAAAATTAGAATTCATTTTCATAATGTTGGATTAACAGATGACAGATTTCAGATATTTGGTAGAATGAATTCCCATTTACAAATTGACCTCCAGGCCTTGGTATCAGGGAAAAATCAGGCAAGTCTTGAAATAAAATGTGTGACTTCCTCCTCTTCTTTTGCTTGGCTTGAGGACAATTCCCTATTCTGTTCTTTCTTTTTGCAGCTCACAAATGATCAACTTTTAAGTGGCTAGTACATTCTGAGCCCTACTGCTCTGCTGGTGTAGAATTCATAAATTTAACATCTCCCACAAGACTTCATCCTGTTAAACTGTCTAAAATCCCTCTTAATAATACACACCTGGTGTCTACTTGACTGAAGCGAATATCCCTGAAGAAATAGAGATTTTTATTGAGAGGGGGGAAAAGGTCATTTATTTGGTACATGAACACTTTTGGGGGTAGACAGAATCCATTGGATGACTTGCCACAGTTGGAGCAAGATAAGAGAATAAGGCTTTTTGGTGACTGAGGAAAGAGGAACTAGGAAGTAGAAAGAAGTTTGGGAGAATGACAAAGGCTAACTACCATTTCCAAATATTTTTTCTTGGCTAGTGATGACCCACAAAGAAAGAGATGTTCCTTTTTCCCTCTCTTCTTGTACATCATATACTTTAGAATTTAAGCTGGTATCAGTGGTAGCAAAATTTAAGTATGTGCGTGACTCCATGAACCATTGAATTAGCCTGGGATTTACCCTTATTTTATAGCATAGTTTGTTTGGAGAATTACATTCTCAGTTCTAAATAACTGAGTTAACAGGTAGTTTTCAGGAACACAATCCATTCATATATGAGGCGCTCTTTTGTGCATTCATTCAACACAAAAATGTTTGTTGAGACTCAGTCCCCACAGGCCCTGTTGTATGCTCACTGGAGCCCTACGTTTTGTGCTAGCCTACTCATCACAGAAATTGTAATTGAATGAAGCAGAAGAAAGACTTAAAGAGATGCTTCAGCAAACATTTTTTGAACAGTGAATAATCACTCCTAGTTTACATTTCATCAATTTTAGCTTTTCTTTAGCCTAAAGAAAGTCACATGGCATTTGAGAGAAGAGTTCCTTAAAAGCCAAATGTTAAGGATGGTATGTTTCTGTGTACCGTTGACCTTGAGCAACATGGGATTGAACTGCACAAGTCCACTTATATGTGGATTTTTTTCAATAAACACTGTAAATATATTTCCTCTTTTGTGTGATTTTCTTAACATTTTATTTTCTTTATCTCATTTTATTGTAAGAATACAGTATATAATACACATACATAAAAAATTATGTGTTAATCAACTGTTTGTGTTATTGGTAAGGGTTCCAGTCGACAGTAGACTACTAAGAGTGAAGTTTTGGGGGAGCTACAGTTATATGTGGATTTTTGACTGCATGGGGCTTTGGAGCCCCTAACCTCCAAGTTGTAAAAGGGTCAACTGCATATGCTAGGTTTTTCTTTGGGGTTGATCAGTAAGTCTATTTTCTATCCTTTTTAAAAAAAAAAATTTATTTCCCTTTTTGTGCTTGTCAC